AGAGATGATCCCTCAACCTCATTAAGCTCTGTCACAACCGCAGTTCACAACCTAAAGTTATTAACAGACTGCATCATAAGCTTAGAAACACGTTTACAATGTACATGTATGTACTGGCCTACATTTGGGTAGCTCCAAGAAGTGCCTGCTGTTAAACCAACACATTGGCACAGAGAAGTTCATGGGTTTGCCCCTTGTTGAAAGGTACTGCAAGGGTTTTATTAAGGGCCAGGCACTGGGAAAATTGACCGGTTTTGAGGATGATTTTGTCCGCCTGGTTTAACCATTTAGAGGAAATTTTTTTCCTTATAAAGGCGTTCAGTTCAAAAAGGTTTGCCCACCAGTGAAAACCAGTTGCCCTCCTGTTGAAAATGTCAATAAAACCCCTGTGTTATAGCAGCTCATTGGGGTTCAGAAGTTCATTGTTTTGCCCCTTGTTGAAAGGTACTGGAACAATGTTTATCTGCTGGCTAGTGTTATTCATTAATTATCAATAATTTATCTTTCTTCCTGGATTTCAGTTTGTTAATGTCAAGTCAGAACTACTGTAGTACATTTGTACATTTGCATTTGCTACAAGCAGAGGAACAGCAAACCTTGATATTTTCCTGCTTTCAACTTCAATTCCACTCTGCATTCGTCCAGGAGGTTTTACACAATCACCAATGATTAAGAGAGATGAGTTAATGCACTCCAGCACTGCTTGATAAACCAGACTGCAGTAGTGACCAAAAATATCCCCAATGACTGACTCATCTGTCAAGCCACTGACAGCAGTTGCAGCTCGTGTCCCAGGCGCTGATGACATGATGGTGCCAATCCTGGTGAGACGAGGTGTCATACCAGTTCTGTCCAGACCATGACTCATGCTTGGACTGGGTGTGACCTGGGGACTTGCAGGTGAAGAAATGCGACGTTGATTTGCAATGGCTATGACTTCCTATCGAGTGAAAAACAAGAGAAACTTTGTCAATACCATCCGTAGCAAGGGCAAGGATGCAGGGCTCAAAAAAATCTTAAATTCCAGCTTGCTGTTCAGACAAGGGGCTTAAATTTTGGCCTGGGCAAGTGTTAGTTTACTTCTATTATGATTTAGTTGGTAGATGACTCGCCTGAGCCCTTACCCATGGGCAAGCGAGAATGAAAAGTAACTTGCCTGGAAGGAAAATACACTTGTCCTGGACAACTGGACAGCACTTTTCTCGAACCCTGGGATATTTTAAAATCTCAATGGAGTTGCAAGGTCCTTTTGTATGAACTTAAGCTGATTTTTGTTGTATGTCGTCTTATTATTCAACCTCGCTATTTCTGAAACAGGTGTAAATGAAGTCTGACAGACAGACAACTTTCATTAATTTCCACTGTGACCAAGCGAAGGCCTC